GTAACTTCCAAGTATATGGGTTAAGCCATAGTATAAATTACCAAATAACTAAATAAATATATAGATAGGCATATATTATTTTATAGTAGTAGGTTTATTTCAAAAATAGACTAGTCTAAAAGAGTTAGTAAGTTCTAAAGTAGGATGCAAAATTCAATAGTAGATACAAAATGCATATAGAATGCTAAATAATACTGTAATACCGGAGTTAAAAGTTTCTATTGGCTTAAAATTAGGTTATAGTCAGAGTTTAAATGAGATAACCCTGTAATTGGGTTATAGGTATAGCAAATAGTATAGAACCTTCAGATAGACTACTTAAATTAGGCATGTGTAGCTTGATATACCCTTACTGTAACTGAAATTAACCTTCTAATAAACCATTTCCAAGGCCAAAAAGACCACCTCAATATTAAAAAAATATACAGTATATACTGTATATATATACTACATGTAGTATACTAAAAATTGCAGAAAATACATCTTTTAAAAAAATTTTTTTCTTAATAAATTTATTCTTATTAATATTGAAATAAACAAATTTAGAATACTAAAGAATTTTTAAAATAAAAATTTTTGAATACATTTTGGTATACTGTACTACATGTAGTACAGAATAAAGAGCTTTATAAGTCCCAACTTGCGTTTAAAGAGAGTGTTGACTGTATTTGAATATTAATATATACAGGTGGGTAAACGAACCTTTTTACTATTTCCGCTAGTGTTAAAACCTTTTTATAAATCTATATACCTGGCTGTGAAAAGTTCCTAGAATCTTTTGTTAAAAATTTTTAATGTTAGCGTAGATAGTAAAAAGATATTGTTCAGGGACTTTCAACCCACCTGGTATATAATATATATATATTATTTATAGCTACGCACCTTATTTCGCGAAATAGCGTAGGATGTAATTTCAAATTTGGGCCAAATTAATCTTAATTCGGGCCATTATTCTAAATAACACTTATGAGCGTTATTACGCGAAAATATGGTAATTTATTTAACTTATTTGTCATTAGTTAGTGACAACCCAATGGAACCAATGGACCTGGTCAATGGGACTTTGGATCCATTGATACCAGTGGACAAATATGCCAATCTCGCGGACCATCTTTAATTTTTCGTGATAAAAACCAAAAACCAAAATTCCGTACGTACATTATACAATACACGTAATAATACAGGGAAAGGGCCGATGATTTTCTGCGGTGATATTTATTTATTTCAAAAATAAATAAATATCACCGCAGAAATCATCACGAACAAATATTGTTAATTAATGAAAATCAAAAATTAGTTTTTATATTTGCGTTCTCTAGAAAGTATTTTTGACATTTCTTTTTTAGTTGAGCAGCGGTATGCTGATACACATTAAGTTTTATATCTCTAAACATAGATTCATAATCTTCACCATATTTATTAATCAGTTTTTCCACCATCCGTCGTTCGTTTTCAGACAAATGGTGCTCTTTTTTATGTACGATCGAAGCTTGTGCTTCTAATTCTTTTGCAATTTATGACTTGATTAGTTT